CTAAAATCTCTAGCCTGCCCTTTCCTCAAAGAATCTCTGCTAGCCTGCCCTATCCTAAAGAATCTCTGCTAGCCTGCCCTTTCCTAAAAATCTCTGCTAGCCTGCCCTTTCCTCAAAGAATCTCTGCTAGCCTGCCCTATCCTAAAGAATCTCTGCTAGCCTGCCCCTTCCTAAAGAATATCAGTTAGCCTGCCCCTTCCTAAAGAATATCAGCTAGCCTGCCCTGCCTCTGCCTTCCCTGCCCCTTTAAAGTCGTTCAGACAGGGTCAAAAGGGCCCCATTGGACCCTTTGGACCTAGGAGAGGGCCAAGAAGCCGAAGAGGAGCAGGAAGGAAGGAAGGAGGCTCGCAGATTTATTATGTATTTCGAGCCCTGGGTGGCCGCAGCTCTTCCAAAAACATTGCCCCCCGACATTTCCACCCTACCCACCACTTTTGCACTTGGAAAAGTAGCTGTTTCTGGCTTTCTAGTCGATTTAAAGGGGTGGGACAGCTAGGGATTTCGATTTAGCGCGCATTATCTCTCGCTCTCTCTCTCGCTCTCTCTGTCTCTGTCTCACACGTTCTATCTCTCTCTCTTGCGCGCGCTCTCTCTCTCTTCGTGTCTCTCTCGCTTTTTCGGACTTCACAATCTCTTTAAAGGCACCGTTTCACTTTCCCAAAACATCTGTGCTAGCTTGCCTTCTCTTTCGCCCTGCCTTCCTAGTACCGTTAAAGGGACCGTGACATCTCGCTTTCTCTCTATCCGGCTAGCTTGGTGTCCTGTTCTAAATAGTTTCCACAAGAAGCACTGCTAGCTTGCCTCTCTCTATCACTCTCTCTCTCTCTCTCTCTCTCTCTCTCTCTCTCGCTCTGATTTCCCGGATGACTGCCCCCCCCCACCCCGTCACACCGACTATTTTGTCCGGGCTCGCCCTACGGCGCCGGGAAATTTGGGACCTCAATTCCACTCGGTGGCCCTGGTGGGGGGTCCTGGCCAGGGGGGAGGGCCCATAAAAGAACTCAATTCGGGGCCCTCACCCCCTCCTGGGGCCCGGAAAGGTCCCAAATCTGGCCCAATCGGGGGGCATGTGGCTGCAAGATGGGCGGAATTTAGTTTTCCGGATCCCTGCCGATTTGGGTATTAAGGGGGCGTTCCCGGGTCGATTTCCGGAATTGCTAAGGATTTTCGATTGGCTTGCGTTTTCCTGAGGAATCTTAAATCTGCTCTCCCCTAAAGAATCTCTGCTAGCCTGTCCTTTCCTAAAGAATCTCTGCTAGCCTGCCCTTTCCTAAAGAATCTCTGCTAGCCTGCCCTTTCCTAAAGAACCTCTGCTAGCCTGCCCTTTCCTAAAGAATCTCTGCTAGCCTGCCCTTTCCTAAAGAATCTCTGCTAGCCTGCCCTTTCCTAAAGAACCTCTGCTAGCCTGCCCTTTCCTAAAGAATCTCTGCTAGCCTGCCCTTTCCTAAAGAATCTCTGCTAGCCTGCCCTTTCCTAAAGAGTCTCTGCTAGCCTGCTCTTTCCTAAAGAATCTCTGCTAGCGACCTTTAGATTCAAAGAATGCTTCCAAAAGACCGGAAAGAGCCGGATGGCCCGCCGGGAAAAACCGGATTTACGACCAATTTCTGGGGGCCCGGGAAACGGCGGTTTGCTGCTTCAAAAATTGGACGCATCCCGGGGTCAAAGATCAAGCCAGGAAGCAGGGCAGGCTAGCAGTGATTCTTTGGGAAAGGGCCGACTAGCAGAGTTTTTTGGCAGCAAAAGCCCTCGAAAATTCTCCAAGTAACGATCGCTTGAATTTCTCCGTTTTTTCCCCATTAATGAAGCCGTGTTTCGTCTACCTTCACTGTTCCTTTAATTTTGCTCTTTTTCTTAAGCTTAATTTCGTGCTTTTTGCCAGCCTCTCTCCCATCGCTTAGGCCCAATTTTGGGCCGGGGGCTGCCGTTTTGTTTGAGCAGGAGCCGGGCCAAGAAATTCCATCCGCTCCACAATCCGCCAAATCTGCTAGCAGCGCGGGTACGCAAATGGACAGAGAGACAAACAAGGCAACAAAACAAGAGACAGGCTAGCAGAGATTCTTTAGGAAAGGGCAGGCTAGCAGAGATTCTTTAGGAAAGGGCAGGCTAGCAGAGATTCTTTAGGAAAGGGCAGGCTAGCAGAGATTCTTTAGGAAAGGGCAGGCTAGTAGAGATTCTTGAGGAAAGGGCAGGCTAGCAGAGATTCTTTAGGAAAGGGCAGGCTAGCAGAGATTCTTTAGGAAAGGGCAGGCTAGCAGAGATTCTTTAGGAAAGGGCAGGCTAGCAGAGATTCTTTAGGAAAGGGCAGGCTAGCAGAGATTCTTTACGAAAGGCTAGCAGACGAAAAACCCAACAAACAAACGCACACTCAGCACATAAACCCGAGATCCCACCCACCCCATATTCCGCTACATTACCCGCAGCATTTCCGCCATTTTTTGGGCCGTTTCCTGGCGCCTCCCCGGCCCCAAAAATCCCCTCAAAAACTGGGATTCCGAATGGATTTTTTTGAGCTAGCAGAGATTATTTCGGTTCTGCTATTGGCCAAAGGCAAGCTAGCAGAGTTCCTTGTGGATTTTGGACCGGTTTAGAGCAGATTTTAAGGCGAGCAGCCCCTATTAATGCGTCATGAGCACCCGTGCAAATCCGGTGTTGTTCGCTTGCGCTGGGATGGGCTGGAAATGACAGCCATGTTTTTCTACTGGGAAAAATGAGGCGCACGTCTGCTTCCGCAATCGAGGGCAGGCTAGCAAAGATCATGTGGGAAAGCAAAAGCTATTCAAAAGGGGTTGATTCATGCCTTAAGAATATCTGCTAGCCTGCCCTGTCCTAAGGAATCGCTGCTAGCCCGCCCTTTCCCAAAGAATCTCTGCTAGTCTGCCCTTTCCTAAAGAATCTCTGCTAGCCTTACTGCCCTTTAAATTGCCTAGGCAAGTTAGCAGAGACTCTTTCGGAACCCAGAATTCTCAAAAGCTCTTGAATAAGCTCTGCTAGCTTGTCTCTGATCCTTAATCCCCTTATACCAACATCCCGTTCGTTGTTGCGTAGTGGAGTTTCCCCCTGGAGGGTCTTTTGTGCCCGCCAGGGCACACACGACCCTCTAAATAATGGATTGGCTCGAGCACAACGAGATGAAAGGATGGAATGGGGGGAGAGACCGGAACCACCGGAAGCGGGAGGCTTCTCGCCATTTTACGCCGCCATTCTCGCCATTTTACGCTCCACCTTTAACTTTTCGATCGCTGATGGTGTGCTAGCTTGCCATGCTGGAAAGGTCCAAGAATCTCTGCTAGCCTGCCCATTCCCAAAGAATCCCTGCTAGCCCACCCCAATCTTTAACTTTTGCTCTCTTTGCCGACTGAGAGCCCATCCCTCTTTTAATCCTCCCCATCGCCCCTCGGGGCCTCCACTCCTATTTCCGGAGCCTCCCGGAATCTTTTTTGCGTCTTCCTCTCTACGCTTTGGCTGCCAAGTCGGAACATCACCTTTCCGGAAGGGCTATAATCCTCTCTTCTACCCACTCACCCCCGGGGTTAACCTATTTTTTCTTGATTTTTCTTCGGACGCAGCGTTTTTTCCTGTATTGAATTTTGGTGCATTTCTTGTCGCACTCTCTATCTCTCTCTTTCTCTCTGTATCTCTCTCGCTCGCTCGCTCGCACTCTCTCTCTCTCACACTGGCTCTCTCGCTCCCTCTCTGTATCTCTCGCTCTCGCTCTCTCTCTCTCTCTCTCTCTGCTCTCTCGCACGACATAGGTGTCGCCATCCCTTTAGAGAGCTGAAATGCTGGGCAGGCTAGCAGAGATTCTTTAGGAAAGGGCAAACTAGCAGAGATCATTCTTCATCATTCAAACTTCCTGGCCCCATTCCTTTAAAATTAGCCTCACCCGATTTTCGAAACGGACGGCGGCCAATTCCAATTCATCGAGGGGTCCCCCTCCCTCGGTCCCATTTATGCAATTTTGGCCCCGGGCGGCGCTTTTCGTCGAATTCGGGTGGACCCTTGTGTGTCGTGTGTCCCGTAGAGGGGCCCCTTCTTGGGCCCTCTCTCCTGTTGTGTGTGTGTCCCACAATTAGGGCCCATTCTCGGGGCAATTCGTCGCTCATCATTTTCCTCTGGCCCCTTGTCGAGCCGGGGCGTTTTTTGTTCTCTTTTTTGATGCGGCTACCTTTCGATTTTTCCGGCGGGCTTTTCGTCAATGATCTCTGCTAGTTGGACTTTTTTGGCAATTTTTGCCAGGGTGCCGTTTCCTAAAGAATCTCTGCTAGCTTGCCCTTTCCTTAAGAATCCCTGCTAGCTGTCCCGCTCCCTTTGATTCAAATTCCATAAATAACCCTGCTGTTGCCATCATTTTCCGTCCGACAACATATACGTACCCGGAGGGCATTTACGGCATAGAGGCTTTTCCTCACATAAGGGAATAAGCGAATTAGGTGACAAGGAGAAGAGAGAGAGAGAGAGAGAGAGAGAGAGGAGAGAGAGAGAAAGAGAGAGAGAAATAGAGAGAGAGCGAGATAGAGAGAGAGAAAGAGAGAGCGAGAGAGAGAGAGAGAGAGAGAGAGAGAGAGAGAGAGAGAGAGAGAGAGTTAAAGAGAGTGAGCAACAGAAAGAAAGTAAGAAAAGGGATGACAACAAGAAAAAAGACGACCACACTTCATTAAGGACAGAAGCGTCCCTTCGTCTCCTTCGCCGAAGGGTTGCTTTTAGACGGGAGTGCGCAGAAAATATGAGGAGCATGAGCCGAGGAGTTGCATTTACGGGGGCTAGATGCTAGATTGCGAATATTTTGGCACAGAATCCCTTCGAGGGCCGAATTTACGCAAGAATCTGTGCTAGCCTGCTCTTTCCCAAAGAATCTCTGCTAGCCTGCTCCCACACTTTTTTGTCTAATTTGTAGCCTGAATTTTGGTGATCTTCTTTTTTCATGTCCTCCACCCTTCAATGATCCTTTAAAATTCCGGAATTTCCAGAATCCTACCCCTGACGATGCCTCAGCGGTTGCGATGAGTGTGAAGGGCGCGCCGTGGTGGCGCCGAGGGCCGATAAGGTGGGCTGTAGTTTGTACTCTCTACTACAGACTGTGCAGTTTGTAGTCTGTGGTGCCAGTAGGGGTGAGAATAGAGGACATTAATAAGATGTAGCTTGTAGTTTCCTTGAATCAAAACCTCTCCCCCTAGGTGCATCGCCGCCCTGTTGGTCGTCGGCACCGTCTACCTGGCCAGCCACGACATCAAGCTCCGTCCCGCCACACATTCACAGCAGAACATCTCCAAGCTCGACAAGTACTTCATGAGACACTTTAGTCTCCGGCCAACTTGCCCGTAAGGAAACTGGCAGAGATTCTTGAGGAATTGCTTTCAGGAATGGAACGGTGACTGTCAAGCAGATAGTGGAGGAGGAGAGTGAAGATGCACAATTTCCGCCTGACTTGTTTACGCTGGATCAGCGGCAAAAAGGAGCTGGTGGGTGGACAGCCAAGGTTCCTTAGGAAGGGGCAGGCTAGCAGAGATTCTTTAGGAAGGGACAGGCTAGCAGAGATTCTTTAGGAAAGGGCAGGCTAGCAGCGATCATTTAAGAAAGGGCGGGCTGGCAGAGATTCTTCATGTTCATCAGAAATGTTAAATTTTCAGTACTCCTCCACGTCGTCGGCCTCATCTACATGTTCGTGGCGTTGGCCATCGTCTGCGACGAGTTTTTTGTCCCTTCATTAGCCGTCCTCACCGACACGCTGGCGATTTCAGATGACGTGGCAGGTAGGTGAAGAGCGAGAGAGATAGAGAGAGAGAGAGAGAGAGAGAGAGATAATGAGAAAGCGATGGAGAATCCGCTCGTGCTCCCTTTGAACTGCAAATTTCAGGCGCCACCTTTATGGCTGCCGGCGGGTCCGCTCCAGAATTCTTCACCTCCGTCATCGGCGTGTTCATCGCCCAAAATAATGTGGGCATCGGGACCATCGTCGGTGGGGTTTTTTGAGAAGGGATGCCAGCAGAGATTCTTGAGGAGGGTTTAACGCTGATTTTTCAGGGAGTGCTACCTTCAACATTCTCTGCGTGCTCGCCTGCTGTACCCTATTTTCGACTACGGTGCTCCAGTTGACGTGGTGGCCATTGTTTAGGTGAGTTAAGAGATGGCAGCCGGCTAGCTAGCAGCGAATCTTGGGGAATTTTGAAAGCAGGCAGCTAGCAGTGATTCTTTAGGAAAGGACAGTCTAGCAGTGATTCTTTAGGAAATGGCAGGCTAGTAGAGATTCTTTAGGAAAGGGAAGGCTAGCAGTGATTCTTTAGGAACCATTCCTTTCCAGGGACGTCTCCATCTACATCGTAGCCCTCTTCCTCCTCGTCATCTTCTTTTTGGACGAGAAGGTACGAAGTTCAGGGAATAATCTAAATTGTAATCGCAGATCACATGGCCAGAGGCGCTATGCCTTTTCTGTATCTACCTCTTCTATTGTACATTCATGAAATTCAACGAGCAGGCTGAGGTTGGTATTTTCTGAAGCTCTGCTAGCTTGCTCGAGAGAGAGAGAGAGATAGAGACAGAGAGAGAGAGAGGGAGAGAGAAAGTGAGAATGAGCATGAAAAATTAAAAGTGGTTATGCATTTTTAAGTGCTGGTCTTTGAAAGCAAAGGTACAGACTGCGTTCTCAAGTGAGATGAAGAGAGAGCGATAGAAAGAGAGAAAGAGGGAGAGAAATAGAGAAAAATACGTTAATCCACGATTTACAGCGCTTTGTAAAAGTGCGGCTGCTCGGCGAGAAGATGGAGGAGTTGGACGCCGGCTCCGACGACCTGGAGGCGATGAAGAATGGAAATACGGAAGGAGCCGACGGGAAAAAGGAGTGCCATGTAGGAGATTTTGAGCGAGAGAGGGCAAGAGAGCGACAGAGAGAGAGAGAATTCTTTTTTAGGAAGTCGCCCCATTACACCATCAAAATGGCCAGCCACCCGGCCAGCCACAAGAGCTAACGAACGGCGATGCCGAGCCGTGGAGTCGAGTGGGCCGCGGGTCGTTTAGGTATTTTAAAAAATCAAATGTAAACCTTAAAATTTACTATTTTTGTTAGTTAATCTAGCGAAAACAAAAAAAAGCGCATTTTTGGGCTAATGAATCTAATCTAATTCTAATTTTTGCGTAATTTTAAGTGGTTTTTGGTCTGGTTTTTCTAAGGTTTGAATAGCTAAATAATTTAAGTGCCTTAAAATATAAATATTTACGTCTAAATCTATTGAATTTGAATCAATGATTTAGCAAAATAAAGAACATATTTTTCCGAGTATTTTGACCCGAAAAAATCTACTTTTTTCGACAGAATGGAAGTTTTTTGGGCATGTCATTTCCTACGCAAGCTAGCAGTGATTCTTCGGAATTTTAATTTAATTCCAATGAGTAAAAAATGCTACTAAAAAACTCCTAGCGACCCGCAAAACCCTCAAAAAGAGGCGCTGCTCCCGAAACGGTAAAGAGATGCTGGATTTCTTTTTTGGGGCTTGCGGCTTGCTTTTTTGGCTCGATCGGCCTACTGACGAACCGATTGCCTAATAATTTTAATACTTTTGCGTGCCACATCACTAACCATTGGTTTTCTATCTTTTTAAAGCGATTATCTAATTTTTCTGCTTTTATTAACACTTCTTCTTTCTATTTATAAGTTTCCGAACGTTTGTTTTTTGAGTAATGGCAAGCTAGCCAAGATTTTTTAGGAAAGGACTAGCTGGCAGAGGTTCTTTAGGAAAGGGCAAGCTAGCAGAGATTCTTTAGGAAAGGGCAGGCTAGCAGAGATTCTTTAGGAAAGGGCAGGCTAGCAGAGATTCTTTAGGAAAGGGCAGGCTAGCAGAGATTCTTTAGGAAAGGGCAGGCTAGCAGAGATTCTTTAGGAAAGGGCAGGCTAGCAGAGATTCTTTAGGAAAGGGCAGGCTAGCAGAGATTCTTTAGGAAAGGGCAGGCTAGCAGAGATTCTTTAGGAAAGGGCAGTCTAGCAGAGATTCTTTAGGAAAGGGCAGGCTAGCAGAGATTCTGGAAGAAGACCTGGTCAGCTTGGCGATGTTCTGTAATATGCTGAAGCGAGGCAGGCTAGCAGAGAATTTTGCGGAAAACGGGAGTCAACTGCGTCCACATGAAGCTCGCTGTTTCATTTCGTCTTCCTAAAGAATCTTTGCTAGTTTGCTTTGTTTCTTAGGAAAAGGCAAGGTAGCGGTTTTCTTTAGCAGGCTAGCAGAGATTTTTTAGGAAATTCTCTTCCAATTCACTAACCCTCGGTTTTCGGGCTTGCCAGAAGATTTGTTAACAAGAACTGTTTCGAAATTCTCAATATCCTCCCATTTTCAGACACAACCCAATGGATCCGCGGCGATGCTCGATCGGTGCGCGCAGGCAGTCAATTCCGATCCTGCACTCCGGCTCGATGTTCCGGAACGGGATCATCAACCTGATGGGGAACACGCTGGCCGAGTTGCCGGAAGGTGAGGGGGCGTTGATGGGCTCAATGGGCCTTTAAAATATCCTATAACTGGCATAGGAAAATGCGGGTAGTTTTTGGGGTAGATTTTGCCTTCGGACTTCGGACCTTAAAAATTCATAGAACTAGCGCAAGATACACAAAAGACTGGGGAAAAGAGAAACGAGCTAGAGAGCAGGAGAGAGAGCAAGATAGCCAGGGAGAGCGATAGAGAGAGAGTGAGAGAGAGCGACAGAGAGAGGGACAGAGAGAAAGAGAGAGAGTGAGAGAGCGGGAGAGAGCGCGCAGGAGAGACAGTGAGAGCGAGAGCGAAAGAGAGATGGAGAGCCAGACAGCGAGAGAGAGAGAGAGAGAGAGAGAGAGAGAGAGAAAGATTTCTAATCCTAGCGGTCCTATTTTCATTCCCTGCTTTTCCTCTGCCTTCTCTGTCCCTTTGGAACCAGTTTTTTGCCACTTTCAACATTTCTATTTTCCATTTTCGAATCCTTTTCTCCAGCATGTGGGCACCCCCACCTCTGGCACTACTAAAAAAACGCAAAATCCTTCAAAAAAAAACCCCCCGAAAACTCTTGTTACAATAACTACCATAATCGTCACAGAAAATTAGCATATTTCCCGTTTCCCTTTCTGCAGGTGCCGACTCGACGTACTGGGCGGAGAGACAGTTGTTCCTGCCAGGTCCGCGTTAAATTGTGCCCCCAAATCATGAAAAAATTAGCTAATTTGCATATTTTAAATCCATGCAAATCAGCTGATTTTTGATCTGCGAACCCTAGGGGCACAGCAACTGATACATATTTGCACGCCACCCACCTACCTTAAAAAAGATACTTTCGTAAATCCTAAGATGAAAGAAGCACCTACCGTAATCGAATACCGTAGCCCTTTAGTACACCTTTACAGACCTACCCCTTAGAATTCTGCGATTTATCAAGCACAGTCACAATCCCTCGGCACCCACTCCCTTGAAAATGGGTCCCTTGAGCTGGCATTTCTTAAAGAATCTTTGCTAGCCTGCCCTTTCCTAAAGAATCTCTGCCAGCCTGCCATTTCCTAAAGAATCTCTGCTAGCCTGCCCTTTCCTAAAGAATCTCTGCTAGCCTGCCCTTTCCTAAAGAATCTCTGCTAGCCTGCCCTTTCCTAAAGAATCTCTGCTAGCCTGCCCTTTCCTAAAGAATCTCTGCTAGCCTGCCCTTTCCTAAAGAATCTCTGCTAGCCTGCCCTTTCCTAAAGAATCTCTGCTAGCCTACCCAGCTCAAGGCGACCTGCCCCTTCATCAAGTGCACCTTTTTTGGTTCTATTAAACTCTTTACCCCCAGTTTCAACCGTGTGCCATTTCCTTTCCTTTTTTGGGTTTCCCTTTGAGAAGAGCGAGCAAGAGCGTTTTGATACGGTAGCTGTGGTAGCGATTTAGGAAACGGTGGTGACTGGTTGAATTCTGTATTTCAGACGAGAGCGAGAGGAGTTCAATCGATCGGAGCAGGACGGCGACCACGCAGCCGGTTGGTTTTTGAGGACAAGAGAAATAGAAAGAGATGAGAGAGAGAGAGAGAGAGAGAAAGAGGGAGAGAGACCAAGAATTTTTCAGCCAAACCTCGACACGCCTACCGCTCCAGTCAGCCAGCACAAGCGGCATTCGGTCATTGACGAAATCGTAAGTCGTGAAATACGAGAATTCAGCTGTTTTTTAGAAGTCACTGCTCGAAGAGGACGAGGAGAAGCCGCTGGACATGTCGTGGCCGGAGGAGCCGATGAAGGTGAGCTAGCAGAGATTCTTTAGGAAATGCTGAGACGACGGTAATCTAATTTTTTCAGAGATTAACCTACGTTTGTCTCGCCCCTATCCTGATCCCGATGTGGGTCACGATACCGGACGTCAGGAAGGAGGTACGGATACCTAAACGAGAGAGTGATAGAGAGAGAGAGAGAGAGAGAGAGAGAAGGAGTTAGAGAGAGAGGGAAAGATCACGAATGTCTCCATCCATAAAAACTCAATTTCAGGGTGTCCGGAAATGGTATCCCGTCACTTTCGTCACTTCTATCCTATGGATCGCCTTCTTCTCCTATCTGATGGTGTGGTGGGCGAACACAATCGGAGAGACGCTACAAATCCCAACAGAGGTATGAAAAACGCTAAAAATTACATCAACATATTTTTTTAGGTGATTGGGCTGACGATTCTGGCGGCCGGTACGAGTATTCCGGATTTGATTACCAGGTATGTCTTGCTAAGCCTAAGCCAAAGTAAGCCCAGGTCTATGCCTAAACTAAAGCCTAAGCCTAAGCTTGAGGAAACTTCAATCTCCGATTTTCAGTGTGATCGTCGCCCGGAAAGGGCTCGGCGATATGGCCGTCTCCTCGTCAGTTGGCTCAAACATTTTTGACGTCTGTGTTGGGCTACCTGTACCGTGGCTTCTCTACTTTGTCACACAGCCACTATTACATCCAGGGGAGCCGGACTCAATTTCTGTATCAAGGTAGGTGGCAGAGATTCTTTCGGAACTGGCAGGCTAGCAGGGAATATTTGCGATTTCCAAACCATTCCTTTTTTAGCAAGGGCCTCCTCTGCTCGGTGGGGATGCTCTTCATCATGTTGGTCGTGCTCGTCCTAGCCATTTTCGTCTCAAAATGGCAAATGAATAAGGTGGGTTCCTGAGAAAGCGAGAGAATGAGAGAGCGAGAGCAAGAGGGAGAGACAGCGGAGATCGAGAGAGAGAGAGAGACAGAGAGAGCGAGAGAGAGACAGAGAGAGAGAGAGAGAGAGAGAGAGAGAGAGCGAGAGAGCGAAAGAAAGAGAGAGAGCGAGGGAGGGAGAAAGAGAGAGAAAGCAGGTTTACCATATTTTCCCAGATTTTCGGCGTGTTGATGATCGTCTCCTACATCGCGTTCTGCATCTTCTCCGTCATGCTCGAGACGGACAGGATGCATTGCCCCTTGAATTTCTGCTAAATATCTCGTATCCGCTAGTATCTTGCCGCTGCCAAAAAATTCCGCGGATTTTCGGTTTTAAAGGGGCTTGGAAGGCAGAGCGAGAGCGAGAGAGAGAGAGAGAGAAAGAGAGCAGGAGAGAGCGAGAGAGAGAGAGCTACTTGCCTTGCCGACCCCTTTAAACCCAAAAATCCCCCCCAATCAATCCTATAATTTCAAATTTGCATACGGTCCCCAGATTTTCCGCTTTTTTTTGGTGTTTAGCTATCACCTAATTAGCATATTTGAATTGCTTTAAACCCCCAATTTTTTTTCTCCGATTTTTCTGAAGTGCAAAACGTGGTATTCGAGCGTCATTTTTCGTGTTCAGGAGTTTTTCTATAATTTCTTGGTTTTATGATATGCTAATTAATCCATTTAAATTACCCTTGATAGCCGATGTGTCATTAATGCGTGCATTTCGGAGGTTTTGCATCGTTTTCTAGCCATTTTTCAAATTCAGCGTTTCCCCCAATTCCCGGTGTAGCTGCCTTGAGAAATATTGCTGTATTTTCTTTTTTTGCACTACAACTTCCTTTTTATTTTCCTCTTATTTTTTACCTTTTGATTCAATAAAATTTTGCATCATTTGCATAATTTACATATGAAAGCCGGAGAGAAAAATCACAGTAGAATTGGCAAAATCACAACGCAAAAACCCTTAAAATATTCGTAAATTTTAATTATGATTTTAAAAGCATAAAATGAATTTTTACAGCTTTAAAGGGACTGTGACAGCTCGCTTCATTTCTTGGCAGCTTGCCCCGCGGCCCTCCGCTTGGCGATGGCAGTCAATTCGCGCATGAGACGCTGGTTCTCCAGATCGATACGGCGTCCCGTTTCTTCCTGGAAAGGCGAGCTAGCAGGGATTCTTTGGGAAAGGGCAGGCTAGCAGAGATTCTTTAAAATTTCCGACCTCATCCTCCGTTTTTCTACGTCTCTTCGGTGGCTCGGAGCCGCTTCTCTTCTTCAGATTAGTCGTGACCACGCTTTTTGCGTCAAGTACGCGATTTCGGTGTAATAGGTATCGACGCATCTCTTCGTGGCGAAGTACTGGGTCACGTTTCATCTGAAAAATAAGGTCAAGAGCGAGGGAGCGAGAGAGAGAGAGAGAGAAAGAGAAAGAGAGAAAGAGAGATAGAGAGAGAGAGAGAGCGAGAGCGATAGAGAGAAAGAGAAAGAGCGAGGGAGATAGAGAAGAGGAGAGAGAGAGCGACAGAGAGAAAAAGAAAGAGCGAGGGAAATGGAGAAGGGGAGAGAGAGAGCAAGAAATATCCTAAAAAAAAAGTTAGAAAAACATTTAAGGAGGCTACGGAAATCTCAGAGAAGCAACTCGAAAAGCTAGAAGCCGTCCATAGACTTCCCAGTCCCTTTAATTGAAAACCAAATCCCCTTAATCCTCAAAAATCAATAATTCAAGCACCAAAACTGCCGGGAACCGGTTTAGACCCCCAAAAACAAACATGGTCCCTGGGGACGGCTTCGTTTTCGCCATGGTAACCCCAGAGTATCGCGTGTAGCCAGAAGGCTTTTTGGAGCCGCTGAAAGAGGCAATTAACAGGTGGGGAAAGTGAGCGGGAGCACTTTACGGGAAATTTATGAGCCCGAAAACATGGCGTAATCCATTGCCCCCTAAATTCTGTCGAATTTTTAGGGAAAAGATTTGCTCAAAATGCACAAAAAATCGAAAATTCTGCAGATTCCTTGACGGAAAACGAACTCACAGTGTCACCTAGCCCCGGGGCACGAGCACGAACTCGCAGAAAGTCAGAAAAATCATAGAAACTGAGCCAGGATTTCCCACGTCTTGTACCAAACCAATTTCGTCACTGGTTTTGCTGCCCTTTCCGGTGCAAACACCCGCGAAGCGGATTTTCAACCAACATCGACCTTCCATGGCATCCCCATTTCCTTAAATGTTCTCTGCAAAGCCCGGCCAGCCAGAATTTCCGGGAATTTTTGCAACTACACGTCGAATTTGAATTATGTGTTTTGCATCTGTTCAATCCAGAAATACACTAAAATCTGGGAATCCCTGCTCTCTTTGCCCGATGGGTACGGTATTCGGCCTTATATCGGCCACCGTGATCCTGAGCTTTCTTGTTTGCACCACAGAACACTACACGCAAAATGGTATTTTTTATTATTCGGTACTTTTTTTATTCGGTACTTTAAAGGGAACGCGACAACGGTAGTCAAGATCGCTTGAAAATCTAGGCTACAATGGTCCTGAAAATTCCGAATTGTTCCAGATGACGACGCGGAGCCGTGGCCGTACGAGTTGCGGAAGGAGTTAGGATTGCGTAGGGAATTTAACACCTGCCCTTTCCTAAAGAATCTCTGCTAGCCTGCCCTTTCCTAAAGAATCTCTGCTAGCCTGCCCTTTCCTAAAGAATCTCTGCTAGCCTGCCCTTTCCTAAAGAATCTCTGCTAGCCTGCCCTTTCCTAAAGAATCTCTGCTAGCCTGCCCTTTCCTAAAGAATCTCTGCTAGCCTGCCCTTTCCTAAAGAATCTCTGCTAGCCTGCCCTTTCCTAAAGAATCTCTGCTAGCCTGCCCTTTCCTAAAGAATCTCTGCTAGCCTGCCCTTTCCTAACGATTCTCTGCTAGCCTGCCCTTTCCTAACGATTCTCTGCTAGCCTGCCCTTTCCTAAAGAATCTCTGCTAGCCTGCCCTTTCCTAAAGAATCTCTGCTAGCCTGCCCTTTCCTAAAGAATCTCTGCTAGCCTGCCCTTTCCTAAAGAATCTCTGCTAGCCTGCCCTTTCCTAACGATTCTCTGCTAGCCTGCCCTTTCCTAAAGAATCTCTGCTAGCCTGCCCTTTCCTAAAGAATCTCTGCTAGCCTGCCCTTTCCTAAAGAATCTCTGCTAGCCTGCCCTTTCCTAAAGAATCTCTGCTAGTTTGCGTTTTCCCTTAAACTCAAGGCAGGCTAGCAGTGATTCTTGAGGTTTCAGTGAAAGAACAGAACATGCTCAGCGCCGAGTTCCATTCGCGATGCCGCAGATGTCATAGTTTGTTTCCCACCGCTTCGCCAATTTTCTGACGTTCAGGCCACGGGCACACTCACAGTCACCGCCACACGCACCACTACGTTGGTGGTGGAGGATACGGTGGCTACAACCACTACGATTCGCCCCGTGGAAGTCACGGGAATAGGTCGTGCAGCACCCCTGAGGAGTGTCGCGTGGAAGCCGGTATAGCGAAGCTGCCCCCGAGAACACACTAGTGTTTTAGGGGTTATGATCGTCATCGGTATTGTCTTCTGTGTATGCTTAGGCTTTGTAGTCCTTGGTGGGTGCAATTGTATAAATGACGGGCTATCAGAGATTGTTTAGGAAAAAAGCAGGCCGTCCAAAACCCATAGTAAAGCCAATTTTAGTTCATTGCTGTGAGGCTCGTGATTGTGATTGCGGACCGGCTCCAGGTGCGGTAGTTAAAGAGAGAGAGAGAGAGAGAGAGAGAGAGAGAGAGAGAGTGAAATTGAGAAAGATGGTGAGAAAGACAGAGAGATAGAGCGAGAGAAAGAGCGAGAGAAAGAGAGAGAGAAAGAGTGAGAGAGAAAGAGTGAAAGTGAGAGATAAAGAGTGAAAGTGAGAGAGAAAGCGAGAGAGCGAAAATGAGGGAGAGTGAGAGGGTGAGAGAGCGTGAAGTGAGAGAGGGCGAGAGCGTGGAAGAGTGAAAGTGAGAGAGTGAGAGAGAGTGAAAGAGAGAGCGAGAGAGAGAGAAGAGAGAGAGAGAGAGAGCGGGTGGTTAAATAGCTTCTCAGTTGCAATTTTGTTTCTAGCCTGCGCCCAGCCGATCCCGCAAATGAATGTGGCGCCGCAGCAAAACACGGGCGAGTTTTTGGCGACCGCGTGGCACCTGGTTCTTTGCCGTTACCGGGGGGGTGAACCGTTTTTTGATGATTTTTGAAGTCTAGAATTGCCTATACTACCAAATTTCTTATTAAAAACTTGTAAAGTTCTTACGGAATGATTCGTATTTTGACTTCCTAGTCCCTTTAAGCTGTCAACGTTGTGACGAAGTCGATTCCATCTGCTGCTCCTCCCGATAAACCCGTCCAGCTGCCGCCGCAGCAACCGCTGCAACCAAAAGCTCCTGCGCTACCGATGCCGGTTGGTTCCATGCCCTCTCTGGCCCTTAAAGGGCTAGTTCAGCCAATAAAACAAAAGAATTTCCGCGGCCAGGAGTCGAACCCGCTCTGCGTTTTTTTGTCTGCGCTCCTCTCATTTCCCCGATCTCTAATAACTGTCGTAATGGGGGACTGTTCGGGCGCACTGTGCCTACGTCCATAGTTTCCCAAGGTACCAGCCCAAGCTCTAAAAGTTGAACTAGCCCTTTAAATGCGGTGGTTCTTTTGCATTATCGGGGGGGGGGTTCTTAGGATCCAATTTTCCAAAGATCAACAGCATAAGTGTTTCTAAACGGTTTTTTTACTGTTTCTAAACGTTAAAATTTTACAAAATGGGCTAAAAAAACAAAAAATGTAGATTTTCTACCCAAAAAATGGTGGCCGATTTCGACCAAAGTTGCGACTATAACATTTTTCTAAGGTTTTTTATTGTTTTTCCAAAATTAAAATATAGTTAACTTGCACCAAAAATCTTTGTCTAAAAAATATCAAAATAATCGATTTTTCAAGCAAAAATGGCCGGTTTTTCACCAAAATTTCGACTTTTTGAAAACTTTTTAACGTTTTTAGATAGTTTTTCTATTAAAAATATAGTTCTTTTTTAAAAACGGTATGAAAATACTTAGTATTACGTTACTAGGGATTTCTGGACGTCTAAGAAAAGTTGTTCTCCCCCCGATATTGCAAAAGCTCCAGTTCTGCTATGCCTTAACAGGCCCCTTAAAAAAGTTTTTGCGCCCAAACGAGCGTAATTGAGAAGAATGGAGAAAAATCGAAAACATTGACAAAAAAACCTAAATTCCTACGATTTTTCAGCAGCAGCAGCAACAAGCCGGCTTGCCACCACCA